GAAACTCATAACAACGTATCTTTTGCTTGTTTTCTGGTTTAATTTCAAGTATATTTTTAGGCTTGTAAAATATAAATCGGATAAGAGCGCTAATTTCGGATGGATGAAATAGTGATTGAAATAGAGATGATATTTTCGACATTATGGGTATGTTTTTGCAATTTTTGCGGAATTAAAGAGAAAGAGTTTATTATGTTACGTACAAAACGCGAAGTTTTAGATAATATAGGCTAGGTGCTGGGAAAAGGCCGAAAATGACAATTTTTCAAGAGTTTATTTTACATAAATCAATTTAGAATAAATTAGTATTAATTAGTGATGGGCGATTACTTATCGATTAGTTTAGTATTAATAGCAATTACTTATGAGAATCGATAACAAAATTTACATAATTAGAATGATAATTTCTATTTAATGAATTTCTTTGATATAAATTACGCATTTTAGTTATTGTATACAAATATCAACAGGAGGAACCTTCACCCAGTGTGCAACATTTAAAAAATAATACCAGATCATTCCTCTAGTACATCTAATGATTATAATCCACACCATTTTATTATAATAAAAACGGCGTGAGATTATAATCATAACATGTACTAGAGGAATGATCTGGTATTGTAAAATAATTTTTTTATATGTTACACGTCGGGTGAAGGATCAGTCGTTTAACATTGACGGTTCCTCCTGTTACAATTTCGAGAGCTTTAAATTCTAAGTTATTATTACTTATTTGCTAAAAATTTAAATGATATTTATTAATATTAAATAATTGCATGTAATTAATTTAGCCCATCTCTAGTATTAATGCAACTTCAAATTTCATGCGGATGGGAATTTTTCGGAATCTATTAAAAAATTTTAGCTTGCATTATGGTGGCTTCTTAGCATTAAGATATATATAAAAATCATCTATAATTTCATGCGCATCATGCGCATGATTATGCGCGCATGACATGCGCATGATTATGCGCGCATGACATGCGCATGATTATGCGCGCATGACATGCGCATTGCCCATCGTATTAATACAATTTTGCATTTTCTTATGATTTGAGTTTATGAGAGTGAAAACTCGTAACCAATCATAATAAATCATTAAATGTTTTTCCTGATTTTCACTTATTTATACCAACGGAGTAAAACGAAATGTATGGTTTGATATTTCTTTTTATAAACATCATATAATTATTTATTTCTATATTTATTATAGATACGAGTTTATTTTCACTATCGCTATTCTATGGTTATGTAATTTCCCGAGCATGCGTATGGGTGTATCTATGTACAGTATATACCAAAATTTAAAGATCATTGATGATCAACCAATCAAGTTGGGCAAATTTGATCATCCTAGGATCGGCCCGATGAAACAAAACAAAGCGAAGAAAGAGGAAAATACAAAAAATACAAGAAACAGCAGTCAAAACCTATTTTGAAGCATTAATAAAAGTTGTCAGGAAGTCGATTTTATAAATATAAACATCTCTAACCATGACATAGCATTAATCCAGGTCTTCCAACCCCAATATTAGCCAAATAAACGTTGAATCAAAAAGTTGGTGTGGATCTTCAAATTTTGATGTGTACGTATCCGCATGGATATTACAGTACGAGTGACGAAAAGGGAAAGCCTGTAAATCATTTCACTCATTGAGTGAGATGATTTACAGGTTTTCCCTTTTTGTCACTCATATTACCATATATTCAAATGGTTCTAATTGTTTATTTCATATACTGTAATCATTTTTGTAATCGTAATTTAAAGCATTGCAATCTGAATTCTTGAAAGCCATGACCAGAATTTAAATAAGGTTAGCAATATTAAATAAATTCTCAAATTTATAGGCGTGTTAGATTTGCTGGGTGGTTTATCCGTAGGTAAGTACTACTCTTCTCTTCTAAGCCTTTCCTTCTGCCTATATTTCTTTAACCCTTTGCCTTCTCTTCTCTTCTTTCTACTTACTTAACCTGGGTTACGGTACGTCGAATCGGGTTAGAGTCTTTCTCTTCATTTAACGGCTCGGTCGCGTGACTTACGGCGAACGATCAAAATGCGGCTTTAATGGATTACAATTGGGCGAACGATATGGATAACGATGGTTTTAACGATAGTTTTAGTTTGGGTTGGGTTGTAGTTTACTTTTAATATGGGTCCAATACTTTAGTTTTATTTAAGCAAATGTATTCACTTGGGGGTATCGCGGTTGCTTTCCCATAAAAGTTTTATTTACCACTGAGGATAATTTCCTCTTTATTATCTATTTACACTATATTAGTAAGAGAAATATCCCGATTTTTTTATTATGTATAAATATATATCGACAAAGTATTTTAATAGCTTTTAAGCATAACTGGAATATTACCCTTTAATAACAACCTGGGTAGTTACTACAGCAATTTATAAGTTATTTACAATTTAAAAACACATTTCAGCAGCTTAACAAATCTTAAATTTACAATTAGTAAAGTTAAAAGTTTAGACTATCAATATGAAAACCTCTGGGTGTTATTATTTTGAATTGTTTACGAAATAAATAAAGGAGTAAATGGAATCTTGATTGATTTCGGACGATTAAATTGATTCTGATTATTTTTGTATTTTTGTATTTATTATCGATTCTGCTCATTTTGTGACCTATACATATTGTATGCCTCTATTGTGCAATGTTTGGT